GGAATGGGGGCTCTGGAGTGAGGAGTTTTCTGGGAATGGGGGGTTCTGGAGTGAGGGGTTTTCCGGGAATGGGGGATTCTGGAGCGAGGGGTTTACCAGGAATGGGGGTTCTGGAGCGAGGGTTTCCGGGAATGGGGGGCTCTGGAGTGAGGGGTTTTCCGGGAATGGGGGGTTCTGGATTGAGGGGTTTCCCGGGAATGGGGGGTTCTGGATTGAGGGGTTTCCCGGGAATGGGGGTTCTGGAGCGAGGAGTTTTCCGGGAATGGGGGTTCTGGATTGAGGGGTTTCCGGGAATGGGGGGTTCTGGATTGAGGGGTTTCCGGGAATGGGGGGTTCTGGAGCGAGGGGTTTCCTGGGAATGGGGGCTCTGGAGTGAGGGGTTTTCTGGGAATGGGGGAGTTCTGGATTGAGGGTTTACCAGGAATGGGGGGCTCTGGATTGAGGGGTTTCCAGGAATGGGGGGTTCTGGAGTGAGGGTTTCCTGGGAATGGGGGGTTCTGGAGCGAGGGTTTTCTGGGAATGGGGGGTTCTGGAGTGAGGGGTTTCCTGGGAATGGGGGTTCTGGAGCGAGGAGGTTTCCGAGAATGGGGGTTCTGGAGTGAGGGTTTTCTGGGAATGGGGAGTTCTGGATTGAGGGGTTTACCAGGAATGGGGGTGGTTCTGGATTGAGGGGTTTCCCAGGAATGGGGGGCTCTCGATTGAGGGGTTCCCAGGAATGGGGGGTTCTGGAGTGAGGGTTTCCTGGGAATGGGGGGTTCTCGATTGAGGGGTTTTCTGGGAATGGGGGGGTTCTGGAGCGAGGGGTTTTCTGGGAATGGGGGGGTCTGGAGCAAGGGGGTTCCCGGGAATGGGGGCTCACCTTGAGGATCTCGTACATGTAGAAGCGGATGTCGAAGTCGGAGAGGGTCTGGTAGAGTTGCTGGGAAGGGGAGGTGGGAAAGGGGCTCATTCCCACTCCGGAATGGGGGCTCTGGAATGGCTGCTCCCATGGAGATCCCTGCCCTGCACCCCCCCATGTCCCACTGGGAATTCTCAGAGCCCCCAAGAGCCCTCCCAGCCCAGGGCGATCCAGGGGGCAGGGACCCTCCCAGGATCCAGATCCAGGGAATTCCCTGTGGGGTGGGAGTGGGAGTGGGAGAGCAGAGCCCGGGACAGGGAATGGGGGGCAGGGATTGAGGTGGCCCTGCCGAGTCCCGGGGACAGCCAGGGCACCCCCATCCCCCCCCCACCCCAATCCCGGGATTGGGATGGGACCCCCGGGGCAGGGGAGCTGAGGACCCCATAGGACCCCCAGGACCCCCAGACCCCCAGGACCAGGCCCCCAGGACCCCAGGCCCCAGGACCCCAGGACCCCAGGCTCACCTTGAAGTCGGTGTTGTTGACGTGCTCGGAACACCAGCGCGGGCGTCGCGGGACTGCGGGGACACCACGGGACAGGGGAGGGGTCACAGGGGCTCGGGGGCGGGGGGAGGGGACATTTGGGGTTGGAGGGGTTGGAGGGTTGGGGTTGGAGGGGTTGGGGTTGGAAGGTTTGGGGTTGGAAGGTTTGGGGTTGGAGGGTTGGGGGTGGAGGGTTTGGAAGGTTTGAGGTTGGAGGGTTTGGGGTTGGAAGGTTTGGGGGGTTTGGAGGGTTTGGGTTTGGAAGGTTTGGAGCTGGAGGGTTTGGGTCTGGAGAATTTGGAGGGTTTGGGTTTGGAGGGTTTGGGGTTGGAGGGTTTGGGGTTGGAGGGGTTGGGGTTGGAGGGGTTGGGGTTGGAGGGTTTGGGGTTGGAGGGTTGGGGTTGGAGGGTTTGGGGTTGGAGGGGTTAGGGGTTGGAGGGTTTGGGGTTGGAGGGGTTGGAGGGTTTGGGGTTGGAGGGGTTGGAGGGTTTGGGGTTGGAGGGTTTGGGGTTGGAGGGGTTGGGATTGGAGGGGTTGGGGTTGGAGGGTTTGGGGTTGGAGGGTTTGGAGGGTTTGGGGTTGGAGGGTTTGGAAGGTTTGGGGTTGGAGGGTTTGGGGTTGCAGGGGTTGGAGAGTTTAGAAGGTTTGGGGTTGGAGGGTTTGGGGTTGAAGGGTTTGGGGTTGGAGGGTTTGGGGTTGGAGGGTTTGGAGGGTTTGGGGTTGGAGGGTTTGGGGCTGGAGGGTTTGGGGTTTGGAGGGTTTCTGTAGGGTTTGGGGTTGGAGGGTTTGGGGTTGGAGGATTTGAAGGGTTTTTTCTGTAGGGTTGTTTCTGTAGGGTTTGTTTTGTAGGGTTGTTTCTGTAGGGTTTGTTTTGTAGGGTTGTTTCTGTAGGGTTGTTTCTGTAGGGTTTGTTTTGTAGGGTTTGTTTTGTGGGGTTGTTTCTGTAGGGTTTGTTTTGTAGGGTTGTTTCTGTAGGGTTTGTTTTATGGGGTTGTTTCTGTAGGGTTTGTTTTGTAGGGTTGTTTCTGTAGGGTTTGTTTTATGGGGTTGTTTCTGTAGGGTTTTGTTTGTAGGGTTGTTTCTGTAGGGTTTGTTTTGAAGGGTGGTTTCTGTAGGGTTTGTTTTGTAGGGTTTGTTTTGTGGGGTTGTTTCTGTAGGGTTTGTTTTGTAGGGTTGTTTCTGTAGGGTTTGTTTTGAAGGGTGGTTTCTGTAGGGGTGGGTGTTCCTGTAGGGTTTGGGTTTGTGGTATCTGTTTCTGTAGGGTTTGTTTTTGTAGGATTGTTTTTGTAGGGTTTGTTATTATAGGGTTTGGTTTTGTAGGGTTGTTTTTATAAGGTTGTTCTTGTAGAGTTTGGGTTTGTAGGGTTTGTTTCTGTAGGGTTTGTTATTATAGAGTTTGTTTGAAGGGTTGTTTTTATAGGGTTGTTTCTATAGGGTTGATTTGTAGGGGTTTGTTTCTCTAGGGTTTTTTATAGGTTTGTTTTTGTGGGGTTTGTTCTTGTAGGGTGGGTTGGTAGGGGTTGTTTTTAGGGCTGTTTCTGTAGGGTTTGTTTTTATAGGATTGCTTCTTTAGGGTTTCTTCCTGTAGGGCTGTTTTTGTAGGTTTATTTGAGTAGGTTTGGGTTTGTAGGGTTGTTTGTGTAGGGGCTGTTTTAGGGGCTGCTTTATAGGATTGTTTCAATGGGGCTGTTCCTGTGGGGTTGTTTTTGTAGGGTTTGGGTTTGTAGGGTTGTTTTTGTAGGGTTTGGGTTTGTAGGGTTGTTTTTGTAGGGTTTGGGGTTGTAGGGTTGTTTTTGTAGGGTTTGTTTCTTTAGGGTTGATTTGTAGGGGTTTTGTTTTGTAGGTGATTTTTTATAGGGTTGTTTTTGTAGGGTTTGGTTTGTAGGGTTGTTTTTATAGGGTTTGTTTTGAAGGGCTGTTTTTGTAGGGTTGGTCAGGAAGGGTTGTTGGTGTAGGGTTTGTTCTTGTAGGGTTTGTTTGTGTAGGGTTTGTTTGTGTAGGGTTGTTCCTGTAGGAGTTTTGTCCCATTTCTTTTTGTAGGACTTTTTTATGTTGTTTCTATAGGGTTTGTTCTTGTAGGGTTTGGTTTGGTAGGGTTGTTTTTGTAGGGTTGTTTTTATAGGGTTGCTTCTAATCCTAATCCTAATCATAATCCTAATCCCATTCCTAAACATAATCCCACTCCCAGTTCCCTCCCAAATCCAGTCCCAATCCCAATCCTAATCCTAATCCCCATCTCAATTTAATCGCAATCCTAGTCTTGAACCTATTCCCAATCCTAACTCTAATCCCAATAATAATCATAATCCCAGTTCCAACATCAATACCAATATCAATCCTAATCCCAATCCCAATCCTAATCCTAATCTCAATCTAAGATCCAATCTCATTACCAATATCAATCCTAAACCTATTCCTAATCCTAACTCTAATCCCAATCCCTGTCATAATCCTAATCCCAATCCCACTCCCAACCTCAATTCCAATATCAATCCTAATCACAATCCAAATCCCGATCCTAAACCTATTCCCAACCCTAACTCAAATTGCAATCCCAACCTTGATCATAATCCCAATCCTAATCCTAATATAAATCCCAATCCTAACTCAAATCCCAATCCCAACCTCAATCCTAATATAAATCCTAATCCTAATCCCAATACCAGTCCCCGACCCAATCCCAACCCCAGTCCCAACCTCAATTCCAATCCCAGTCCCAGTCCCAGTCTCAATCCCAACCCCAGCCCCAATCCCAATCCCAATCCCAGTCCCTGCCCCGTTCCCAATCCCAATCCCACCCTCTTCCCGTTTCCCACGCCCTGCCCACCCCGTCTCTGGCATTTCCAGAGGCAGGAGCAGCCCTCACATCCCCCAATCCCCCAATCCCCCAGTCCCCCAATCCCCAGACTCCTGGGGTTTCTTGGGATGGAGATCCCAAAGCTCCCCCCCAGAATGATCCCGCGGATTCCCAAGGATTCCCGAGGATTCCTGCGGATTCCCGAGGCTCCCTTACCACGGGGTCCTTGACGATGTCCAGCAGGCTGATGATGTTGGGGCCGCCCCGCAGATTCTCCAGGATTTTGATCTCCCGCTTGATCTTCTTCTTCTTCACGGGCTGGGAAGGGGGCACGGGGAGGGGCTGAGAGCCGGGAACGGCTCCGGAGGGAACAGCCATGGAATGCACAGAGGGAATCCCTGAGGACTCCATGGGCTCTCCAGGCCTTTGGATCCCGACCCATGGGCTCGGACTGCCCAGACAGGCACGGGCACCTCTCGGCCTCACAGCCCTTGGAATGGTGGTCTGGGAAAGCAGGATGGGCTGGATCACAGGGATTGTGTCCATGGGATGGGAGCTGGTGGGATTGGGACCTGGAATGGGGGCCCAGGGAAGGCTGTTCCCACCCTGGAGTGGCTGGAGCGTGTCCAGGGATGGGAACGGAGCGGGAAAGGGTCTGGAGAACTCCCAGGGAACTGCTGAGGGAGCTCAGCCGGGGAAAAGGGGATCAGGAGGCAATCCAGGGGGACAGGAGGGTGGATCCAGGTGGGATCGGGCTCTGCTCCCAGGGAACAGGGACAGGACAAGGGAACAGCCCCAGGCTGTGCCAGGGGAGCTTTATTTGGGATATTTGGGAAAACCCGTCCTGGGAAGGGGCTGCCCAGCCCTGGATCCCCATCCCCATGGGGGATTATTGACCATCCCTGGGGAGGTGGCACTTGGGGACACGGGCAGTGGACTCTTCCAGCCTCAGCAATTCCAGCATTCCAGGGCCCCAGGACCTTTGGGATATCCCAGGACCAACCCCCGAGGCTGCCCCCGCTCCGGGATTCCCCATCCCGGCATTCCCGGCGTCCCCAGCCCCACCTTGAGGATCTTGACGACGACCTTCTCGTTGTTGGTGATGTTGATGGCCTCGAACACCTCGCTGTACTTGCCGCGGCCCAGCTTGCGCACCAGCTGGTAATCGTCCTGATTCCTGCCGGGAACAGCACGGACACGGGGGGGAACATTCCGGGATCCCACGGAGCGCCCCGAGGGCAGGGCTGGCTCCGGCTCCTCACGTGGGAACGGCCAGCAGAGCTCACGGAGAGCTCGGGGACGGCCCCACCCAGGAAATCCCCCAAATCCCAGCGCCTGGCGCTGGACTTTGGATGCCGAGATCCCAAATCCGTGAACCTCAGGGCTCCTCTCCCGGCCCGCTCCCAGATCCCCTGTCCCCCCTTCCCTCCCCTCATTCCGGTGGGTGGGCTCACCCGACACCCCCAAACCGGCAGGGAACGGAATTCCCAACGTACAAATCCCCCTCGTTGATCCCGAGGGTCTCCAAAATGAACATTCCGAGGGGATATTCCCAACAGGAACCAAACCAGCCCCTCAGCCACGGAGCCCTCCCCATCTTTAACCTGCCCCAGCCCCTCCCGAGTCATCCAAGGGGAGCAGCAGGAACAGCAGCAATTATCCCACAGTTATCCCTGGGCATTCCAGACCGAGCCAGCCCAGCCCGCAGGGAAGGAGCGGCTGGAAGGGCCTCGCTAATTGCTCATTAATGCTCATTAAGCAGAGACAGCAGCACGGAGGGAGCCGGCAGGGAAAAGGCTGGATTTGAGGGATGGCAGAACAGCTGTGGGAGAGGGAGCAGCCCCGGGGCCGGGCAGAGCATTCCCGCTGCAGAATTCCTGGAGCAGCATTCCCGCAGCAGCATTCCCGCAGAACGGGCACTGGGATGGGCAGGGAAAAGGCTCTGGAGAAGGGGAAAAGGCTCTGGAGAAGGGAAAAGGCTCTGGAGCAGGGAAAAGGCTCTGGAGCGGGAAAAGGCTCTGGAGAAGGGAAAAGGCTCTGGAGAAGGGAAAAGGCTCTGGAGCAGGAAAAGGTTCTGGAGAAGGGAAAAGGCTCTGGAGCAGGAAAAAGGCTCTGGAGCAGGGAAAAGGCTCTGGAGAAGGGAAAAGGCTCTGGAGAAGGGGAAAAGGATCTGGAGAAGGGAAAAGGCTCTGGAGCAGGGAAAAGGCTCTGGAGCAAGGGAAAAGGCTCTGGACAAGGGGAAAGGCTCTGGAGAAGGGAAAAGGCTCTGGAGAAGGGCAGCGTCCCGGGCCGAGCACATCCCAGGCGCCAGTGGGAACCACCAAAATCGGGAATGCCGGGGTCCCGAGAGGCTCCAGGCCTCAGGATAACTCGGGATAACTCCCACAACACCGGCCTCGGGCTGCCACCTTCCTCCCACGGCATCGTGGAATGCTCTGCGTTGGAAAAGCCCCCTCTGAGCCCCCCCAGCCCAGGCTCTGTCCCTGTCCCATCCCTGTCCCTGTCCCTGTCCCTGTCCCTGTCCCATCCCTGTCCCTGTCCCTGTCCCTGTCCCTGTCCCATCCCTGTCCCATCCCTGTCCCTGTCCCACCCCTGTCCCATCCCTGTCCCCATCCCTGTCCCATCCCTGTCCCTGTCCCTGTCCCATCCCTGTCCCTGTCCCTGTCCCATCCCTGTCCCTGTCCCATCCCTGTCCCATCCCTGTCCCTGTCCCATCCCTGTCCCCATCCCTGTCCCATCCCTGTCCCTGTCCCTGTCCCTGTCCCATCCCTGTCCCTGTCCCTGTCCCTGTCCCTGTCCCATCCCTGTCCCTGTCCCACCCCTGTCCCATCCCTGTCCCATCCCTGTCCCTCCCATCCCTGTCCCTTCCCTGTCCCATCCCTGTCCCTGTCCCACCCCTGTCCCTGTCCCATCCCTGTCCCATCCCGTGTCCCATCCCTGTCCCATCCCTGTCCCATCCCTGTCCCATCCCATCCCTGTCCCTGTCCCATCCCTGTCCCATCCCTGTCCCTGTCCCATCCCTGTCCCTGTCCCTGTCCTATCCATCTTGTCCCTATCCCTGTCCCATCCTTGTCTCATCTCTGTCCCATCCCATCCCTGTCTCTGTCCCATCTCCTGTCCCTGTCCCATCCCTGTCCCATCTCTGTCCCTGTCCCATCCCTGTCCCTGTCCCTGTCCCATCCCTGTCCCTGTCCCATCCCTGTCCCTGTCCCTGTCCCATCCCTGTCCCATCCCTGTCCCTGTCCCATCCCTGTCCCTGTCCCATCCCTGTCCCATCCCTGTCCCTGTCCCATCCCTGTCCCATCCCTGTCCCTGTCCCACCCCTGTCCCTGTCCCACCCCTGTCCCATCCCGTGTCCGGGCCGTACCCCCACTCCACGACGTGTGACTCGTAGTCCCAGTACTCCCGGGGTCTCTGGGTGTTCACGTCCGCATAGACCCTGGCCCGGCTGGGCACGGGCCCGGCCATGGCTCCCTAAAAACAAACACAGCAGGGGTGAGACCGGCACACCCTGGAATTCCCACGATCCCAGTGATCCCAGCGATCCCAGTGATCCCAGCGATCCCAAACACAACAACAAACACAGCAGGGGTGAGGTCGGCACGCCCCGGGATCCCGGTGATCCCAAACTATCCCAGTGATCCCAGCCATCCCAGCGATCCCAGCGATCCCAGTGATCCCAAACACAACAACAAACACAGCAGGGGTGAGACCGGCACGCCCCGGGATCCCGGTGATCCCAAACCATCCCAGTGATCCCAAACACAACAACAAACACAGCAGGGGTGAGACCGGCACGCCCCGCGATCCCAGTGATCCCAAACCATCCCAGTGATCCCAGTGATCCCAGTGATCCCAAACACAACAACAAACACAGCAGGGGTGAGACCGGCACGTCCCGGGATCCCGGAGATCCCAAACCATCCCAGTGATCCCAGTGATCCCAAACACAACAACAAACACAGCAGGGGTGAGACCGGCACGCCCGGGATCCCAGAGATCCCAGTATCCCAGTGATCCCAGTGATCCCAAACACAACAACAAACACAGCAGGGGTGAGACCGGCACGTCCCGGGATCCCGGAGATCCCAAACCATCCCAGTGATCCCAAACACAACAACAAACACAGCAGGGGTGAGGTCGGCACGTCCCGGGATCCCGGAGATCCCAAACCATCCGGGGTGGGATGTGCCGAGGCCTCTGTCCCCCTCTGGTCCCTTCCGTCCCCCCAGACGGATCCACCCGTCCCAGAGCCCCCCCAGAGCCGAGGGTGGATCGCTCCCTCCGCTCCCGGCTCCGGAGGATCCTTTGGAATGCGGTGGGCTTAGCCAGGACCTGCTTCCCAGCGGGAGGGAAGCGGCACGAGGGAGATGCCCACGGACACCAGCGGTGCCAGGATGGGGACGGATCCCACGGAGCCAAGGGGGAAAGCACAAGGGGGAACCGGATCCGTCCGGGATGGGGACGGAGCTCATCCCACTGGGATGGTGGCACACCCCCTGGATCCCTCCAGGATGGTGGCACACCCCCTGGATCCCACCGGGATGGTGGCACACCCCCTGGATCCTGTCGGGATGGTGGCACACCCCCTGGATCCCGCCGGGATGGCGGCACACCCCCTGGATCCTGTCGGGATGGTGGCACAGCCCCTGGATCCCACCGGGATGGTGGCACACACCCTGGATCCTCCGGGATGGTGGCACACCCTGGATCCTCCAGGATGGTGGCACACCCTGGATCCTCCAGGATGGCAGCACACCCCTGGATCCTCTGGGATGGTGGCACACCCCTGGATCCCTCCGGGATGGTGGCACACACCCTGGATCCCTCCAGGATGGTGGCACACCCCCTGGATCCCACCGGGATGGTGGCACACCCCCTGGATCCCTCCAGGATGGTGGCACACCCCCTGGATCCCTCCAGGATGGTGGCACACCCCCTGGATCCCACCAGGATGGTGGCACACCCCCTGGATCCCTCCAGGATGGTGGCACACCCCTGGATCCCTCCAGGATGGTGGCACACCCCCTGGATCCCACCGGGATGGTGGCACACCCTGGATCCTCCAGGATGGTGGCACACCCCTGGATCCTCTCAGGATGGTGGCACACCCCTGGATCCCCCAGGATGGTGGCACACCTGGATCCTCCAGGATGGTGGCACACCCCTGGATCCTCCAGGATGGTGGCACAGCCCCTGGATCCCTCCAGGATGGTGGCACAGCCCCTGGATCCCTCCAGGATGGTGGCACACCCCTGGATCCCTCTGGGATGGTGGCACAGCCCCTGGATCCCTCCAGGATGGTGGCACACCCCCTGGATCCCTCCAGGATGGCAGCACACCCCCTGGATCCCTCTAGGATGGTGGCACACCCCCTGGATCCCTCCAGGATGGTGGCACACTCCCTGGATCCTCCAGGATGGTGGCACAGCCCTGGATCCCTCCAGGATGGTGGCACAGCCCTGGATCCTCCAGGATGGCACCCTGACCTCAGGATGGCAGCACACCCTGGATCCCCCCAGGATGGTGGCACACCCCCTGGATCCCTCCAGGATGGTGGCACAACCCCTGGATCCCTCCAGGATGGCAGCACAGCCCCTGGATCCCTCTAGGATGGCAGCACACTCCCTGGATCCCTCCAGGATTGGTGGCACAGCCCCTGGATCCCTCTAGGATGGCAGCACAACCCCTGGATCCCTCCAGGATGGTGGCACACCCTGGATCCCACCGGGATGGTGGCACACACCCTGGATCCCTCCAGGATGGTGGCACACACCCAACCACCCCCTGGATCCCACCCTGGGCACCAGCACCGTGCCCACCCCATCCCCTCCCCACGGCCACGGGGACATCCTCCATCCCCCCCAGCTGGGAATGCCACGAGCTCCACACGGATCAAACCCCCCTCGGGAACCCCTGGAAAAAAGCCCCCGGCACGGCCCCCCCTCCATCCGTGCCCCTCAGGGACGGGGTGAGTGCACGGATCCAGAGGCGGGAGCTGTTCCCAGCACTTCCCAGCATTTCTGACCCGGGAATAAAGCACGTCCCCCGCTCCCTGCCCATCTCCAAGGGGTTTTCCCTCAAAGGGCTCTCAGCTCCAGGCACCCCGCACATCCCAACCCTCTCACAGCATTCCCGGTTTTCCCTTCCTGCCCCGGAGCCGCGGGACGCAATCCAGGCAGGAATTTTAAGCCAAAAATAACAAGGAAAACGGGATCTGGGATGAGATGGGATTTCAGGATATTTGGTCACTAATAAGTGGGTTTGATGGAATTGGATCCTGAGGGTTCCAAAGGGGCAGGAAATAACCGGGATGAACCGGTGCCACCCCTGAATCCACAGGGAACTGGGATCCCAGACCGTGCCTAGGGAGATACTGCCGGGAGAGCTCTGGAGAAACGGGATGTGGGGAGCTCCGTGCCCTCCTGGCCACCCCGGGGTGCAACTGGGGAAGCCTATGAAGATAATCCCACAGAATCCCATGGAATATCCTGGACTGGGAGGGATCCACCAGCATTACGGAGTCCAGCTCCACGGGATACCCCAAAATCCCTGCAGGTCCCTCAGAAATCCCAGCAGGAGCAGCGGGAAGCGCTGCCTGGAGCTGTCCCTGCCGGGGTAAGGGGAGGCTGTTCCCGATCCCGGGGATGCCCTGTGGGTGAGGGGTGGGTGGTTGTGCCCCCAGTTCTCCAGGGAATCACTGGCTCCCACCCAGCTCGGGCACAGCGCTGACCCCTCCGGCTCCGGGAGTTGGGAAAGGCCTCGGGAATGTTCTCCGACCTCTCTCCCGCTTGGGAAACTCCGGCTGCCCCATCCCATCACACACCACCCCCACCCTGCCCCGATCCCAGCACGAGGGAATGCTCCTGGGGTCGCTCCATGCAGAGCCCCTCCCCAAATCCCGGCTTTCCAGGCCTTCCCCGCCCGCTCCCCAGGGCGCTGTTCCACCTGCTGGGAGCCTCCCGTGCCAAACAATCCCCACGGGAAGCAGAGAGGCTTCCAGAGGAAGGGCCAGGACAGGGCACATCCAGCCTCAGGGAGGTCGGAAATCATGGAATTGCCCAGGCTGGAAAAGCCCTGGGACACAGCGGGTCCAACCAGGCCACCCCTGCCCACGTCCCCAGGCGCCACATCCGAAGGGATTTATCCCTCTGGGAATGGTCACTCCCCCCAGGGCAGGGCTGGGCAGCCCATTCCAGAGGAGTTTTCCAGATATCCCACCGGGAATCTGCCCTGGCACAGCCCCAGGCCCTTTCCCCTCATCCCATCCCACTGCCAGGCCCTCCCCCAGCTCCACATTCCAGAGGCTGCTCCTGCCTCCTCCCCTTCCCTGCCCCTTCCCACCTCCCAAATCCCCTCCCAAACCCCTCTCCTGCCATCCCAAACCCTTCTCCTGCCATCCCAAACCCTTCCCACCTCCCAAACCCCCTCCTGCCATCCCAAACCCTTCCCACCTCCCAAACCCTTCTCCCAGACCCTCTCCTGCCATCCCAAACCCTTCCCACCTCCCAAACCCCTCTCCTGCCATCCCTGCCCCTTCCCAACTCCCAAACCCCTCTCCTGCCATCCCAAACCCTTCCCACCTCCCAACCCCTCTCCCGGCCTTCTCCTGCCATCCCTGCCCCTTCCCACCTCCCAACCCCTCTCCCAGCCCTCTCCTGCCATCCCAAACCCTTCCCACCTCCCAAATTCCCCTCCCAGACCCTCTCCTGCCATCCCAAACCCTTCCCACCTCCAGGCCCTCTCCTGCCACCCCAAACCCTTCCCAGCCCCCCCAGCTCCTCGCTCCGGCCTCTCCTGCCGCTGTTTTGGACCAAATTCCAGCACTTTTCCACACCTTTGGAACATTTTTATCCACGGCTGGGGACGGGGACAACACAGAGCTGGGATGTGTCACCCACAGCGTTCGGGGATTGCCACCCCATTCCCCAGGGATTCCCCTCCAAATCCCAAATTCCGGGATCACAGCCCCATTCCCCAGGGATTCCCCCCAAATCCCAAATTCCAGGATCACTGCCCCATTCCCCAGGGATTCCCCCCCAAATCCTGAATTCTGGGATTGCCACCCCATTCCCCAGGGATTTCCCCAAATCCCAAATTCCAGGATCACTCCCATTCCCCAGGGATTCCCCCAAATCCCAAATTCCAGGATTGCCACCCCATTCCCCAGGGATTCCCCCCCAAATCCCAAATTCCAGGATCACTGCCCCATTCCCCAGGGATTCCCCCCCAAAATCCCAAATTCTGGGATTGCCACCCCGTTCCCCAGGGATTCCCCCAAATCCCGAATTACAGGATCACTCCCATTCCCCAGGGATTCCCCCCAAAATCCCGAATTCCGGCGGGTTTGGGGCAGGTTGGAACAAACAGGGAGACTTCCAAGGAATGGGATAAAAGCCTGCAGGCCCAGGGGCACCCCCTGATTCCCACCTCGCCCCACAGAGCACCCCCTGCCTTACAGGGCACCCCACGGGC